TCAACCAATTCGAGAAAAACAGTCGACAATGACTGAATGCATGGTCACAGCCAAATTGCTGTTTAATTGAAATAAAAAAATCAAAGAAAACAGAGAACTCTAAGACAGGAAGAGAAACAACAGGCATTGCGGCAGCCAAGTTTGTTTCACCTCGATCAATGCAGTAATACCCACGATGCACTATTCCCATAAGCGTGGGTATGTGGAAGTTCATAGCCAAGCGTACTGCGGTCAAGAACAAGCTAAGAAATTACGTGACGAGACCATCTCGATTTTGCCGTTGATTTCTGGTTTCGGGTGCGTTTCATACAAGAAGATCGATACGAACTACACCGCCGAGTGTAGTAGACATAATCCCGATGGCAATAGGAAGTTCGAAGGAAGCTAATACAGTTGATTTATAACAGAGAAGTAAATAGAAATCACTTTTCAGTCCTCGTTGAGACACAAACGTAATTTAATACACACTACTACAGTTCGACTAAAGTTTACAAACACCACGGTCAGTCACACAAAGTCCCCCATATTCAAAAGGGATTTTTAAATGCACCGGGGAACACGAGATGAACAATTGTGCATACTTAGATGACGACTCCACGCTATACGCAGCGTGAAAATGGCAATTTAAACTTTGCTTGCAGATTTTCCCGGGCAGATTTACATAATAATACAGTTCGATAACAGAGCCAGTCACATAAAATCCATCAAATAGGAACTGCAAGTCGTATAATGCCAAAACAGTACCATGATTTCACAACTTTCGAAATACATTCACTTTTATTGACGTCCACTGTACAACAGTTTAATGTCTTCCCGTTCGCAAGAACACAAAACCTAAACTATCAGAAAGTAACACATAATTCGAGTGATGGAATAACAAAATTACTCATCATTTGTAAATTCAATCCATCAAAAAGTATAAAAAACATTTTTATAAACAATTTTTATTATATAAATACACTTTGAAAAGAAACTAGATTCATAAACATAAATCTATTTGAATACATTCTCACTACAAATTACACAACACTTATTTTCTAGTAGAGTTTCTTCACAGCACAAACTATTGGAATCATGCACACGTGTGATACTTCGGTGACACATTTTATAGCTACGCCCAAAATAGTCCATCATTGATTGCGCAACTGTGACCACACAACATTCTGTTAACATCCACACATTTTCATGAAAATCTCCATGCACTTTTAGACCTTTCATAAGTGAAATACACTACAATTTACTCCAGAAAAACAATTTTCTGGGTACATTCCTACATTCTTGCATACTAATGAGGGATTCAGACACATTCCAAGCTGAACAATTTTCTTGGACTAATAACAAAGCTGGTCAATCCTTTCCCAGCAAAAATGGTATAGCTGCATGATGGTCCAGGAACTGGATATTATTTATGTTACGTATACATACTCATCAGACAGTACTACTGGCTTATAAAAATCTGAATGTACATCCTTCGCTGTTACTTATATGAAATATATGCTTTAATTAATCATGGTGTATTTATCAAACTATCAATCACAGGGCATGGATCAATACATACCTGCAGTTCAGCTAACAGATGTTGTGCATCTCCGCCTAGCGTTGGAAATACATACATGGTACAGCTTCCCGAGTCGAGCCTCACATCGCTTTCTACTATTTTTTTCACAATATCACACATACCTGGCAAAAAGACACAAGCATGTGTAATTTTCAGAATTCAGTGTCATTAGATATGTGTGGAAACCTAAAATCTAGTGTCTCCTTCAGTACAGAAAATAAACAAGTATTGTGTTGATTTACTATTATAACTACCGTAAAATCTGTATTAGAAGCCGCACCCCTAATAGAAGTCGCACCAATTCTATTTGAATAATTGAGAACCAAAAATTCATCATTTCTCATATATGTAGAAGCTCTAATAGAAGCCGCATCCCCTCTGTTGCATTGTACCATTTTAATAGAAGCCGTGGCTTCTAATACAGATTTTACAGTACTCTACATCCCTTGTATATTTCAAATATAAAGATGCAGCAAGCAATGGGCACAATTTATCGATCAGCGACCAACTACAAAGTCTTGAATAGTACGTATCACACACGTAATAGCGTGACCCGATTTCCACAATTGCCAAATTTTGCTATTTTCATAAAAACTTTTGACAAATACTTGCCACTAGTATTAGTTCATGTCAGTATGGTGCAAAATGCTAAAGCGATGACCAACTGCACTGCACTCACCCTGGACGTCATTTTGTCGATGACTGCTGGCCATCAACGGCCAGAAATAATGCTGTCTTATTGGTTCTCCATGTTCTTTCATAATATCCATCAAGGCATAAGAATTTTCTGAGTGAGAGAAAAAAAAAGTTATTATTTTTATGATCTAATACACCACCTCATTCAGGTCATACAGTATAAAACACCACATCCTGGTTCTGCTACAGTCAGGGATTTGAACGAAAAGTTTGTTTGCAACTGTCGGCAGATTGCAGCAAAGCAGCAGCATATTACCTTATATTAGTTATCTGTCATCAAGACATTCTGGAAACAAACACTAACGGTGGAGAATTAAAGCATGAATTGTGAGAGCATTCTTATCTGCAGCTCAAACTGTGACCTCAATTTAGGAATGTTTTAAAACTTACCCACGTTCCCTTGCTCCAAAGAAACTTGCAACGCCACTGCATACGGAGCTGAATGTAACTTCAATGCTTTCATTTCATCCATTTGTTTCACAATGTCCTCAAGCGGCTAAAAGTGGGTGAAAATAACATTTATTTCGCAATTAATTTTAGCCGGTAAATATATTGATGACAGATTTGCAAGTCATGAGATCAACCACGTCACATGGCCAGGGGAGTACATAGAATCGAGGTGCAGGTTCATGAAAAATGTTGAATAATTTATTTAATTAAATTAAAAGCTTAAGAATTTTCGAGTATTTTTCACTTACAGCGAAAACTTGCATTCAGTAGCGTACAGTTAACAACATATAAACAATTAATAAACTCAATTTGGAATTTAGATTCAGACTCACTCTGTTCAGTAAAACTAAATGTTTGATATAAAAGCTGCCCTGTTGGAATTCTTCACCGGCGGCCAGCATGGTTTCAACCTCGGGACGTATCTTGGGAAAAGTTTTCAGAATCTCCATGGCGACATCATCACGTCCTTCAGTTAACAACGTCAGACACAAATTTATCGCATCTTGGAAAGTATAGAAAAAAAAAAGTATTTATTTGCATGAATAGTGAAACCAAAAAGAATACAATATTTAGTGAGTATAAAATTCTCCATTTTGAGAAAGAAAACTTGTATTACCTGGTGCATAACGAGTTCCAAACTGCATATGGCTCAGAATCTGAAACAAAGAGTGGATCGCTCCTGATTACAAAAGTACGTCAATGTACAAAGTTGCATTCTGTGATCATCCTATAGAGGTAGTGTAGTCTAAAATAATTAATGGTATCAATATTAACCAATTGCTGGAAATATTTGAAAATTTCCTGAATTTGTTTTGAATACTGTGAATTCATGCTTCAACTGTATTTAAAAGTGTTTGCAAAAGAAATTTGAACATTAAAGCAAAAGTAGAAGATGAAATGATTGCTAACATTCAGATAAACTGAAAACTGAACAATAACAAATTGAACAATAGGAAATTGAACAATAACCGGTAGTAAATATTTGTCACATTTCACCTTTTCACCACCAGTTCCCTTTTTTCATGACAAATTTACAAAATAGCCCTGCTCTTTCCTTCAAAAGATTGGGACAAAAAGAGCCAAACTGAAAATTGAATCAAATTTTGTCTGTTTGGGTCATTTCCAGAAATATTGAAGAATATAAGAAAATTACTAGAAAAACCTGTATGTTAATAACAGTGTTTGCAATTTTTAAAAAATACTTTGGGGAAAAGATTGATTAATTTTGTTGCTGAGTGAATTAAACTTTTTAAATTTAATACAGACATACCTCACTGACATGCTCTTCATGTCCAGATGTAACAAGACTATGTAATACTAGCATCAAATTTTTGTTGGAAAGTTTGGTGTCTTCGCTTCTAAGCTGCTTCAAAACCTAGAAAATAACAAACAAGTCATCAAGAAATACTTTACAAACAAATGTTTTAAATAATTTAAAAACATTACATATGGAAAACATAAAATTCAGAAATTATAACCAGATCAGCAGAATTATTCAAATGAAATGAAAATGCATCATGTGACAGATACATTATGTATCATCCAGATTCTCATCCAGTGATTGGTCAATTCACATTACATGGCATTTCCAAAAGCAATATCACCTTGGCAAGGCCCCCCCCAAAAAAAGGTTTCTGATCAAATTTGTTTTTTCGTTCAAAATATGAGGCAGTGAACATTAATTAATTTATGTTGCTATATTTGACAGCACACAATTGTTGCAGATTTATTCAATTCATCACACGAGGGAGCTGTTCAGTGATGAAATAAGTGGAGATGAAGACCAGCCTGCACTGTTTATTTTTTTAGAA